GATTGATAATTTTCGAGATTTTGATAAATTTTGTTAAAATTCGATCTTTAAATGCTTATAAAAAAAAACTGTGCCTATGTATTTTTAATATTTTTCAACTGCTCTTGTAACAATATATCAGGAGACTTGTATTAATTTTTTACACTTTTTGGCACAACAGATAAAACTTTATTGATATTTATAGAAAAAAAACTAAAAAAATTGAAAACTGAAAATGTCCGTAAACAGCTCAAAAAGAGTCAAAATATATTCAACTTTATGGTGTATAGGAAATGATAATATAAACATTCAGTGAAATTTGCATGTATCTACAGTTGTTTTTGAATTACAACAAAATAAGGAAATCGCTACATGAGAAATCGAGTGAATATCCAATATGTTATAAAAATTTGAATTTCAAACGCTCAAAAAATTTAATTTGTCTTTCTTATAGACATTTTTTTTTTGATAAAGTTAGATAATCTTGTATTACATTTTAAAATCTGAAATTTAAAAAGAAAAATTTTTACGAATTCTTAACTCAAAATAATTTGCTAATTTTCGTGATTTTTCCATATTTTGTTAATTTTTGAACTTTAAATGCTTATAAAAAAAACTGTGACCAAGGATTTTTAATATTTTTCAATTGCCTTTGAAACAATATACTAGGAGCCTTCCATAAATTTTCAAGCTTTTTTAACTAACAAATAAAATGTTATTGATATTTTTGGAAAAAAAATTTAAAAAAAATGGAAAATGAAAATGTCCCTAAACAGTTCAAAATAAATCAAAATATTTTGAAATGTTATCGTGTATAGAAAATGCAAATATAAACAACCAGTGAAAATTTCATGTATCTACGGTCATTTGTTTTAAAGTTACACCAACAACCAAATTCAATTTTGTGAAAAATCGATTTTGAGTAAAAATTCCAGTTTTTCCTTAATTTTTCTTTTGTTTTTCTTGGCGCTTTTGAAAATTACTGTGAATTTTAAATTTTGACCTCCCCAATGCACCAACGATATTCAGTTTCCAATCGAACAACATACTGAAGTTGAAAATCGAAGCATTATTTCGACTACTATTATCGTTTACACTGACACAAAAAAAAAAAAATAAAAATAAAAACACACATCATTGTAAAATCTATACATTCATCGTTCCACCCAGAATCTAAAATAATTATAAAACTAGGAAATTCTTTATGCCTATAAATAGCTTGAAGTGAGTCGCAAGTCGCAACATTTCGAAAATAGTATTAAAGTTGCTTTTGAAAACTATTTTTGACGCCCCCCCCTCCATCGAAAGTCGAAGCATGCTTACTGTTCCATAACTCATAAAACGATTAGGTTTTGGTGAATTGCTCAGCTCAAAATCTAAGTTGTTTTATTAATTTGAAATAAATTTACTTGGGATTAAAAAAATTTGTTATTTTCTTAATTCATACTTAGTATGTAAAAAAATCATGCAGTATTTGTTTTGAATTTCTTTAAAATTTGTTTTTAGTTTTTAGTATTATTGGGTATAGTTACATTACCTTCGACAAAAAGTTAATACAATCATTATAGATTAGATTTTTCCAATAGGTATACATATAACCGAAAAGAATTGCCATAATATCGTAGTCATTATGGGTGCGTATTTACAGATCGTAACTGAATTCGGCCAAACGGGTATGCATATCACCCAATGCGCATAATCATGGCACAACTGTCAATTAGATATTAGAATTTGACTTGTGTCAAGATGTCTTTAACTATTAACAAACGGTTTATTTTTTTAACAATCTTTGTAAAACTAATAAATTCTTCATACTGTCAATAATATTCAATAATAATAATAATAATAAAAATATACTCAATACACTCAATAGCTCTACGTTTAGCTTTATATTCTGGAGCTAAATGTATCCAAGCTGGTCGACCCATCTAATACTGAAACAAATTTATCAGTTAGGCAAACAAAAGATGTTTGGGTTTAAATATAAAAAACAATGTGACAAATGCAAAATCTCGTTAATTTTCATTAGTATTATTTTATTTTACATTTCATTGAAATTTTTACATTATTATTATTATTATGATTATTGATAGTTATTTTGTTATATTTGTATTATTATTATTATTATTATTATTATTATTATTATTGAATATTATTGACAGTTTGAAGAAAATATTAGTTTTACAAAGAATGTTAAAAAAATAAATCGTTTGTTAATAATTTTAGACATCTTGACACAGGTCAAATAATTACGGTCTGTAAATACGTTTTCTGGGTACCTGTTTACCTGCACATGATACCGTTAAGTCGATTCCCGGGTCATTAAGAGGTATATGTAGGAGTTGATTCCCTGGTCATTTTATATTATTTTCAATATTTAGTCAAATATTCAGATTTCAGGCATTCAGCCTATTGGCCTAATTCAAGAAACACTTCTAGGAGGTTGGCTGAAAATGTTCTAAAAAATGTTGTTCCTTTTAGTTTTTTCATATTTTGAAAATCATTCAATTTTTTGTTAAAAAAATTTAGTGATTTGGTAAAGATTTATAACACATTGTTTTTAAAAATTGGTATCCGGTAATGAGATTATTAGTGTACCGTGACATATATAATGACCCGGGAATAAACTCGTACATAAAGTAGGTCTCGGGAATCAACTCACCTACTGTGCATACAATATAGCCATATATAGGAATCAATCTAATATGGCATCTAATATAACTAATAAATCATTACATGCGTATAACAATTTTTGATTGGATCGAACAGAACGATGTCGTGTTTCAAGTGAAATCGGTACACATCATGAAAACACAAGTTGCATTTCCGCTCTGGGCCTCTGTCAGAGACCAAAGAGTACTCGCCACTCGGTGCAAGATTGAAAGGGTTTTTGGATTACATATTTACATCAGTCCTGGAAATATTTAATTGTTATGTCTTATGAGCTTGTTATGACTTATGAGCTTGTTTTGGATTAGCCAAGCAATCACTTGGAGTCTACAAGACCCCATATGCTTTGATATTTTAGGACAGTGTTTCTAATAAACATCAAATTAACTAATTTTCCCCTAAATCACCAATTACCAATAAATAATATTTGTGTTGAATTTCTGATCTGACTTCGAGGTAATAATAGATATTATAATATTATACTAGTTATCTGCTTATGAAAAATATTATAAACCTAACCTAACTTAACCAGGACGAGTAGCTTATGAGTTATAACTTATAAGTATAATTAGTATAAAGTATTTAAGTATTTAAAGTTTAGTCAAGCGTAGTAGTGGACAAACATTTTGAGGGGTAACCCCTAACCACTCCACGTAAGTTTCACAAATTTTGTGTCATTCCTGGTCAATATTATTATAATATGTCATTGATATTACCATTGAATATATACTATACTCAATAGTCAATGGTATTAACTACATCGTGCAATATATAATAATTTCTGTGTCTTCAAAGCCACAGTCACCGGATTTGGCCACATATAACACAGTATCTATGCCCTGGTCCCTGGCAGAACTAACCCTGTGTTAGGATTTTTAAATTTTTAATATTAGAGTGAATTCCAGAATTCATCTATAACCTATAAAATATTAAGTTAAGATGTTTAGTTATCCCTACTTTGATTATTTTAGGTTTTTTTTATTTTTATTAAAGTTATAAGCCATAAGAGGGTAACTCATTACAATTTAAAAATGCCTATAAATTGTATAAAAATTTAAATATCATAAAATAGCTATTATTTTATTAAATTTATTAAATTCAACCCTCCTCCCCGAATGTACACTTTCAAAATATAATATATTATACATTTTGTACTTACATATAATTATAATAATTTATTGGGAACAAATCTAGTTTAGCTCCCACTCGAATTTTTCAATTTTTTTTCGTTTTAAGCTCGGTAAACTATAAGTGTTGTGCGTGTACGTAAAACTTTCGGGAACTTTGTAAGGATATAGTATATACCATATAAACTAATGATTTCCTCAATTAAAGATTGCACCATCGTTCTTATAACTGGTTGTAATATATAGGTAAATAGGTTAGGTAATGTGCAGTGGCGTACGCAGAATTCGTTAATGGGGGGGGGGGGGGTTACCATATTTTATTATTTTAAAATAATAAATCAATAAATTACGTTTAAAATATTAAATAATTGTTTAAATACAAAAATATTGAACACAGAACGACTCGTTCTGAACGAGAATTCAAAATAAAATGAAATTGTGCGAGTGTTCTGAGTATTCACGTTGCAGATTAGTGTAATCGACTAGTACCTAATCGTCGATCGGTTATTTGTAGATTAGTTTAGTTGGTATATAATATTTATTATTATGTCAAATCGCATGATTCAAAGTAGATAGCAACGATATTACGATTACAAAATATTATCTATTACACGCACACATATATCTGTGTATGAACTTAGTAGTTAGTACTTTGCTCATAAACAACCATGACCCATGTAATAAAATGTAACATGGAATGACAGTAATTATTTTTCGACAAAAATATTAACGCGTTATCGGGGCCAGACTAGACCGATATACGGAACCTTTTAAAACCACCGGGAAGTGACCGACCGACAAAACGCATAATATGATCCTAGTCTAAATATAATATTCCATAAAAAAAATCATTATTCGTATTTTACTTGGGGGGGGGGTTAAACCCCTAAAATCCCCCCCGTCGGTACGCCACTGGTAATGTGTATGGAAACAAATAAACAAATACCAATTATAAATTGTAATAAGATGAAAAAAGAAAAGGCGAATCAAATCTTCCCGCTTTTTACGCATACCGTTTTTACATATCAGTTATCACACAACATGTAGTTAACCACGACCGTGGTATTAGAAAAAAATTAACGTCTATCTGTATTCTGTGGCTTGTCGTGCTTGTACTCGCTTCTCACGTCGTCTCACGGCTCACGGTAAATTTGCGAATGAATGTTACTTATTATTTCTTGTCGGACCTGAAAATAACTATTGCCGTTCAATTAAGCTCACAATATGTCTTTGAATCCAGCTTACGAGGCTATTGGAAAGGGGTTCGTACAACAATATTACGTGCTATTTGACGACCCGTCCCAGAGGCCTTCGCTAGCCGCCATGTATAACGTGAGTGTTTTTTCTAACGTGGTGTGATGTCTACTTACTACTTATTATTTACTAACTTATTATTAATTACTAAATACTATTATAGTATAATACTATTGATTGTTTGTTCTCACAGCGTTTGAAGTTTAATTATTCACACCGCAAATATGTTTGTTTTTGTTACAGCCAGAAACGTCTTTTATGACTTTTGAAGGTGTTCAACTACAGGGTACAGTTAAAATAATGGAAAAATTAAATGTGAGTGAAATCAACCAAATTTTTATCTTTTAAGAAATACGCCTATAAGTATATTGTATATGTAATATATAAGGTATGACTAAACCCGAAGGCTCAAAATACAGTCAGTATTAGTTACATGACAAATTATAATAAATCTTTGTACCTGGGCAGTGGCGTGTATAGTGGGAAGGCCCCCTAGTGAAATTACAGGGTCAATTAAAACATTATATTGCTTAATGTACCTATATACTTTATTACATGACTATACCCAGTGGGCTGTAAATATTTTGTTGACATACCTAAGGTTATTGTTTTTAGTTAGTCTAATCTGTATGAATTATGAAAATTTGGAATTTAAATTTAAATTGTATATTTGCTGATAGGTGATAACCATCAATGCTTAAGAGTTATGTTTACATAGATAGATGGTCTGTATTATATTTTAGAAATTGATTTCTATTCACTGTTGTATTATTACACAGTTCACAAGAATTTTGCAACGCTAGGTTGATTATAAACATTTTTGAGGAATCTACAAGGAAATGTCAGATAGTTAGGACTTAACTTGATGATCATCATTGTAGTAAAACAATAATTATTATAGATGGAATTGTTAATATTTAAAAAAATATATATTTAATAAGCGGGAAGTGCAGCGGGGTGGAGTATATCAGGGGTGTTGGAAGTTTGTCCATCGTCCCTTTGGTCCTCGGACAGGATAGTATATTAATACAGTATTCGATTTTATTGCAAGTATTACATTCGATAAAAACCGATTCTGAGTGAAGGATCAGTATAACAATTATTAATTATATTTAGCAATATAATATATATTTATATACAGAAATTAATATGTTTAATAGATAGCTGTTATTTTAAAGTTTTATTCGTTTCTATGGTAATAAACAAACTGTTAGAATAAATATAGCTTAGCAATAGGGTATTGTGGTGGTTTTTCCCATATTGTTAAAAAACCGTTTAGAACATCAAAAAATAACCTCTAAAGTCTTAAGTACCATCTTGGTCCAATTTGCTAAAAGATAAGATACTATAGTATATTGAATTCAAAGCATTCCTACTGGTAAAAATTTTGTTTATAGGTTAAAAAAAATAAACCTTGTAAAACATCTAGCTTCCTTGTTCAGCTCAGAATCTAAAATTAGATTTACACAAAATTTATTAAAAAATTATAAATTTATATTAATAAAATAAGTCTATTGTATATGTTATAATTAAAACTACTTGGCTTCCTAAAAATTTCTAAAACGGCTATATCGTGCTACTCTCAACTAGTGATAAATTGGCCCATAGTGAAAATAATTGCTGTATTTGCCACATGACTCGTGGGAGGGTCCCCTTACATGAACACAATACAAGGCATTAAAGTTCACAGAATAGCGGCCTAGCCAGACTGATTTATTCTGAATGTAGGCCACCGACTCATGGGATATTAATTGCATAGAACTACTGGTCCATAGAACAGGTTGATCACTGGACGTCCCACGGTTATCCTGGAATTTCCATGCCTCACGGTATTTGTGATGAGTGAAAAATTCAGGCACTGGTCTGATGGTCTTATCATATTTTGTCTTATCCCACAAATATCGGTTGGGTGCGGTTAGCTATTGATGACTAAACCAGTGACTAACTATGATTGGGAAATTGATTGGAAGGGGCAGCATTATTGCGGTCACAAGCTAAGTGATTGTGGGGAGACTTCCGTGTAGCTTTTGTGGGTAGCCCATCAATCGGGCAGTTGTTTAGTGCTAGGTGTAGGAGGTGAAACGACCAATGTAGTGCTTGAGGATCAGTGGATCATAGACAACATGCGGCTGTACATCCGACTGGTTCAACATCGTCAATCATTGCGAGTAGTGACTATAGTCTATAGCGGTAGTCATCCTCCACGTCCCTTGACTAAAATATAGTTCTCAGAGCTAACATGAGATATGCGGTTATAGCTGCAAAGTGCCAGAACCCTAGAAATCTTGTGGCAGATACCAAACGTTTTCAACTGAAACATAATCAATTGTTTGGAATGAAAAGAAATTAATTTCATTAGTGCCAAATATTTAAATCAAAAATAGTTGAGAATGATAAATTAATTACCTATTTTATTGTAAACATTTGATGAAGGATAAATAATATCAAACTTATAATTTATCATTATGTTCTTCAATTAATGCTAATTGATACTAAATTGTTGGAAATTCAAAAAAAGATTTTTGCTATATCTCAATGGATTTATTTAGGCTTCAATTTATCAACTAGTAAAATTAAAAAAATATAAATTATTTATCATTTTATTATAGATGATAAGTTTGTTCTCAGTATTTTTAAATATGTATATAATTTTTCATGAGTCATATTTTTTTTTTTAGAGTTTAACTTTCCAAAAAATCAATAGAGTTGTAACATCTGTGGACTCACAGCCAATGTTTGATGGTGGTATATTAATCAATGTCTTAGGTCGTTTACAGGTAAAAATGATTTATTTATTAATAAAACTTATATTTAATTGATAATTTATATTACAGTGTGATGAAGATCCACCTCATCCATTTAATCAAGTGTTTGTATTAAAATCAGTAGGTAGTACTTTCTATTGTGCCCATGACATCTTTCGTTTAGGAATTCATGATACTATGTAAGACATTGTATAATTATATTATGTTTAATGTCATTTATGTGTTGTCAATAAATCAGTTTCGGTAACCAATGATTATAAAAGAAACAATTTTTTAAGCATGAATGTGTATAGTTTTTAAAAAATACAATTGTATCCTCAATTTAATTAATTTTATCTCTTAAAGTTTGATTTGCTGGAATAAATTTTACTTGAAAGTTTTTTTTTGGTATCATGTTAACTAATTATAATTTTAATGTAGATTAATACTGAACAGATTTTATATTTTTGGTTAATATTAATTGTCTGTCTCTACTTACACAAATACATAGAATTAAAATTGTTAAGAGTTATTTATTTTGAGTGTTCATTAAACAACTAAATTAAAAAGAAAATTTAGAATCATTTTGAAATACATTTAAGTTAAATATTATGGAATATCTTAAAAAATAATATGATGTATTTTTGTATAACCTATAAATACAACTATTACTAATTTTGTATTTTTTATTTGTTCCTTATCAAGTTCTTTCATATCATACTTTTTTTTTAAATTTTAATGCTTCAAACATAAATTTAATATTACCACAGATTATATTTTCATATAATCTGTGATATTACAAGTTATATATTTTTAGTGTTAATAATTTGAGAAAAAATATGTTCAATAAATGGTAATAAATATTCGGTTAAATCATATTATTATGTATTATATATCACGAGGTTTGTGCGATAGTGTTACATTTTCAATTTTGTCATAAGAGTTGATAAGGTTTTGATCCATTGTTTTAGAAAAGGTATCATCATATCATTGTGGATTTCACTATCCCTCATGGCGGTATCATTAAATAAAACTGAATAATAAGGCCGAAATACATACTGCAAGATGATAGTCATAGGGGTGTAAGAGTGGTGATAAATTATTATCTACTAAGGAATAAGGAGTTCTTCTCTGGTATAGCTTTGTATGACTTGTTTACATGAATGAATATAAATGAAAGTATGTTTTTCTTCGTGAGATATTAACCGATAGACGTCTTTTCAGCAAATAATGCTAGCAGAGTAATAGAGAATTTCAAGAATATTATGGCAGTATAATATATTATCCATCACAATTTTTTATAATTTATATGGTTAAGAATTTAACATCATACTACTCCTTCTTGGTAAATTTAACTTAACATACTATTATTTCATAATTAGAATATCACTCACAATGGTCGACATACGTTTAGTAAAGGCAAACAGTAACTCAATCAGCTATAAGTAATAACAAAAAATGTCGTGTGGGTACATGAAAACCACGAATATATTCATCAATAACTTAGGTCACCAAACCAGGAAAGTATTTTTAAAATAGATTTCTTCAGGTTAATTTTCTTCAAGATTAAAACGTGAAAAATTCGCTTAGGACCTAAACTAAAATAAATTCTAGTTCTGATTTCACCAAAAACTTCCTTGTGTTATTACGCGCCAAATGATAAAAATAAGGCAAATAAGATATAGGGATGCCAGATTTCAAAATAAAAAAATACGGTACAAAACTATAAATAATTACACTATGGTTGTGGGGGGGGGGCTTGGTTGAAACGTTGGCCGTTGGGTACTTACCATCCCAGTATGTTAGAGCCTGATAAGTTTTATACAGTTTATTTTGTGAAAAAATGTTTTTGAAGAAACTATATAAAAATATTTATTTTTTTTAAATAAATATCTATCAAATTCAAATGAAAAGTATGAATAACTGGAAACTAAATAACTGACAGGTGATAAGAAACGAGTATGCAGTAGTTCACAATCTTGACTTTGGATATTGATAGGAACCAGATTCCAAATTGTTTACCGAACGGTAAGTGATAGGAACGCATAGACCGGAAACATTTATGCATAAATATATATAATATAATATTATTAATAATATTATATATCTATGCATTTATGTTAATATGTTATCAGTCATTCAGTGGTTAAAAATATTTTTGTCTCGACATTTGAAAACACATTTTGAATATAATATATTATACGAATATTAAACAATAATGTATTCTATTTTTACGGGACGAGAATTTCATAATACAGAACATTTTTACGATATTGGATCTGTTACGGGGTCACCGGGATACAAATTAAAAAAATTACGGGACATATGGCATCCCATTATAAGTAAAATATGTGTTACTTTATACTATATGAGTTACTTTAAAGTATATAAATGTTTAAAATAACTTTATTAATAATATTTACCTGGTTTATCAACAATAACATAAAATGTAAGTACAATAGATAAATTATGATTTTACCAAAACTTTGAACATAAAAATATTAACATTTAGGTACGAAAAAAAAAATGTTGGTATTTTAAACTCTAAAACACGATTTTTAGAAAAGCTTAGCATTTTGAAGTTTTCTGTTCATTACTTCCAAATAAAGTTTGAGCAACTTTTTTGAAAGTACCATCAAATTAAGTATGCAAAAACATATTTTCGAATGAAAAATTCAAAAAAATTGCTTGAGAGATAGTTTTGTTCTTTAACTATAAAATATGCTGTACGATATTAATTAAATGTTGGTGGCGGGATGCACAAACATTTTTTTTACTAATTTTTAGGAAATTAAACCTAGGACTAATATCTTAATGTCTATTATTAACAATGGTTTTTAAATTTATATTTATAAAGAACAATATTATGAAATGTTTTTGAAATCTATTGAACCAGTTACCGGCTATTAATAAAAATATGTTTTGATAAAAAACTGAAATGGTAATGACTATTGGATTACCAAAATTCAAAAGGTAAGAATTACTTTTGCAATGTTGTTAAGGTATGATTCATGGAATTGACTCTAATTTAGAGGAACGTATTTACGTAAGAAGGAATTAATCTCATTATTTTTTTAAGGAATATAAACCCAAATATTTTAATTGTTTTGTTTTTAAAGCATATTTGGGAGAAAAATTTATTTTATTAATCTAATAAATAAATAATATTTTTACTTAAAATGAAAATATTTAGGACATATCAATTTTATAATGTAAATTAAGGTAAGGAAACAGATATTTTTTTAGAGGAAAAGAATGAGTTCCTTTTTTAGTTACGATGAAATTAACATTTTCCTTTTAATATTAAATGAACGTGGAACCGAACGAATAAGAATTTATACTTAAGGATTAAAGAATTGAAACCGATTTCTATTTCCTATATAAATGGAACTTTACCAACACTGCACTTCTGTGACCTTTATTTATAAATATAGGTAAATTTGTATACGTATAATTTATTATACAAATATACATCATCACAGTTTGTGGTACCTACACTAAGACATTTTGTTCATTATTCAATCCAATTATGTAGTACAGTGAAGTGTATTTAGATGAATATCTGAATTGTCAACGTAAAAATATATCTAACTCAATGTCTCAATAGCTTACGTAGCTTTGTATAATATTATACAGGGTGTATCTTATGTCATTGTACGCGGGGTTTTTTGACGATTACGGAACGATGATATGGAATTTCGTTAAAACGAAAAAAGACGTGTTTCTTTATTTTTAACAAGCAATTTTTTTATAACAATTTCAAAATTTTTAAACACGCAGGTGTACCAATAGCAAAATCAACTTTTTTTTTTCAAATGGTAACCACTATATTTTTTAATGGATTCTGGTAAAGCTTTTTTTTCTGAACATTTTGGTAGTCGAATCGTCAATTTTGGTTCTCTAGTTTATTAACTATGGTCCTCCAAAGATTGGTAAAATATGCATTAATACTTTTAATTAAAATAATGGGTATAGGTTTATTTTACAAGCTCTAAACAATTTTTTCTTATAACTACCATTTGATACACTACAATAGTTGAATCGGTAATCTAATGACACCCTCAAAAAAAAAAAAAAAAATAACCAACACAATTGTTTGTAAACATACTTCATTATTTTTATTTTAACATACGATCATAAAAATCAATATTATTATTTTAATATCCAAAACTAAAAAGGATGGAAAGGGATGAATAATAACAACTCCTAAGTTCATACTTTGGATGCGATACCATTATAGGGAATCTATGGTTAATATATCAAGTTTATACTTTATACCACTACGAAAAGAGCACCACCAAACATTGCACTTTTTTCGTTGCACATATTAATGTCAACAATCGAATACCATCTACCAATTTACCATTATTACCTTAGCCACCTAACCTAACCTACCTATAATTAAGAATTCAAATTTATGATATTGTAAGAAAAGTAACTGTGATGAAAAAAATGTAAAGTAATTAATTACGATTATAATAATAAATTAAAATAATAATATTGATTTTTATGATCGTATGTTAAAATAAAATTAATGAAGTATGTTTACAAACAATTGTGTTTGTTATTTTTTATTTTTATTTTTTTGAGGGTGTCATTAGATTACCGATTCAACTATTGTAGTGTATCAAATGGTAGTTACAAGAAAAAATTGTTTAGCGCTTGTAAATTAAACCTATACCCATTATTTCAATTAAAAGTATTAATGCATATTTTACTAATCTTTGGAGGACCATAGTTAATAAACTAGCGAACCAAAATTGACGATTCGACTACCAAAATGTTCAGAAAAAAAAGCTTTATAAGAATCCATTAAAAATTATAGTGGTTACCATTTGAAAAAAAAAGTTGATTTTGCTATTGGTACACCTGCGTGTTTAAAAATTTTGAAATTGTTATAAAAAAAATGCTTGTTAAAAATAAAGAAACACGTCTTTTTTCGTTTTAACGAAATTCCATATTATCGTTCCGTAATCGTCAAAAAACCCCGCGTACAATGACATAAGATACACCCTGTATAGTACTGTAAATTAGTACGAATTATAAATACGTACTATATTATTAAGTCGATGTTCCACAGACATTTGATTTATTTAATATTTATATAAAAAAAAAACATAATTTCTGTACAAACTTACAAAAAAAAATTTCTTACAACTATTTCACAAAATAAATTAGGTATAATATAATACATTTTAATACTCAGATAAATTTACCAGTGTGCGAATACAAAATTATGGCAATAAATACAAAAAAACATCAACATCATTACTATTATAATTTATAACAGATTAACAAGGGCAGTTTTTTTCAGATAAATATTTTATAATAGCGGGTATAATCATATTACTTTCTATACATAATTAACAGTTGTGTTAAATAATTATTTTGAATTTGCGTTAGTTATATTTAAAGTATCACAGATAGATATAATGTGAACATTTACATTATTATTAGGTAGGTATGTAAGACGAATGCGTTTTTCAGTTAACAAACGACACTACGACAGAGTAATACAGTGAGAAATAAAATTGCAATTGTATTTAACGTAACAACAACTCAAGCAATTTGCAGATTAAATTTACACAAAATCAAATTTATTGTCATTCTATTTATTTTTTTCATTGATTTTAGGCTACAAAACGGGGATTGGAATGACCGTGCAAACGTGTTTCGTCCACGGGATACCTGTTTTGAACAGTATCTGGTCCATTATCTGCTGAAATTAATTCATGTTGTTTAAAAGAAACAAAATGACAGTGATGTCGTAAGAAAAAAAATTGTGTGCCGAAAACAGTGAAAACCCAACAAAGCGTATTGTACACAACCAGTAGTTAAGCGAAGATAACAATTATATAATATGTAAAACCACACGTCCATACCGCACAAATTAGCAATCACCAATATCGTTAGTGTTGGATTTTATAATATTAAATTATTACTAATTAGTGTTTACTCGTTTTTACAAAATTATAGATATATTTAGAATAATGACGTGTTTATGATAACGAAGACAATAATTATTATAGAAAAGAAAAAAATAGGTACAAGGTACAACTACAAACAATATGTTAATAATTTAACGTTATAATACGTCGTAGTTATTAGTTACCATATTTATTTTAGTCATTTTATTAGATTTAAAACAGGTATGTGCTTCATGCATAGATATGTTTAAAAACGTACGCTTCTGCGTTCGTATAGTACAAATAAATTGGCAAGTAAGAATAAATATTACACGACATCCGTCATCCACTATAATAGAAATTAACAAAATTTAAATGTTCACTATACAGTTGTTCAACACTGAATAAAAACTGTGGTTGACAGTAGAAGAGTGAGGTACGACTTGACATTTTTAGATGCAAGTAATATCACAAAATTCCATCCACCCATCAAAAATTCGAAAAATGCATTAACTGTTATATTCTTAACCTCTTCGTCGTAGTAAATACTACATTATTACCCAAGCACGCTCTTAAAAAACATAGAGGCGGCTAACTCTTGATACTCCCTTTGCCATACCGCTGGGGGCTGGCCATAGATATCGTAAAAACAAGACAGCAGTTCAGGACTAAGTAGGCTACCTACCTGCTACTAACCAATATAGCTTGAAAAGTCGTGGTAGGTGGCGGAGTTATTGTCTGAGGACAATAATACAGAAGTTCTCGAGTATGCTGTATGCTTATTAATTGTAATATAGTCAAAGATAATGTAGGTCCTATCATTTTCCTAACCACGTGTCCATGTCATTGGGGAACACGATAATATGAGCCTTTGAAACTTAAGCTACAATTACAAAATACTTTTTTTTTTTGCATACATTATTTTATGTATTGAAATAAAATAACTCCCACATTAATTTAATTATACCAATGTGGTAACAAGAGGAGTCTTACAAACTATAGAGTATTATTCTTGGTATGATAAATAAAACATAAATTCAACTAAACACCAACCAACCATATACCCTGGTATATATCCGGTTGGTAATGAAACAAATTATAAATGATCACCACTATTCATTAATATGTAATACATGTATTATACAACGACTACATGAGTCACTATTAATATTATGCATATAATTTATAATGCAGGGGTTATTTAGAAAAAACAAATGAAAACATGAAAGATAATATCTATTAATAATATTTTCAAGTCTTATTTCATAGAACAGAAACAGAGTATTCTGATAACTCGGATCAATGATATAGGAAAATTGTATTTGTATTTAAATGTTTCAATTTATTTAGAATACTGAATTACAGTTATTTAATATATTCAGTCAAATTAACAAAAAGTTCAATATGTTCCTATTTGATATTTCATTAGGTATGTCACTTATAAAAATCTTTCAAGTCTGTTTGATATTACCTAGTTTTTATTGGACAATAAAAAAATGTATTAATAATTATAATTATTAGAACACAGTATCAAAATATATCACAATAATACATTAGATATTACAAAAACATAAATACCAAAGCCACATATTATTGTATTAGGTATATTAAATGAGAGTATACATACAAATATAAATTATCAAGCTCATGATGTTGAGTTGTATAGAAAGAAAACACAAGAAGGATAGGAAAAAGGTGTGAGCAAGCATTAACGCAAACCAAAAAAATATAAAATTATAATAATGCACAAAATTAACCAACGTCCATAAAAATTAAATTAAAAATAAATAAACTATAAGAACACAATAATTGTAGCCATTGTAAAAATGTTAAAAATAATTGTGTCATGTATGTTTTTAGACTAGTGATTAGGCTGAATGAGCCATTTTTGCTTATAAATAATTGAGACTTAAAATACATATATACTAATTTACAATAGGAGTGTAGCTTGGCCAACCTGGAGTCTCTGTTTCTGCTAATTCCTTGTCCTTGACAATATAGGAAGCAGTAAAGAAGAAAAACATTGCTCCTAATACTTCAACAAAACTTGTAATGAACAATGCATATTGAAGACTATGGAAGTTGTTAATGTTATCTTGTTTGTCACCACTGGAGGTTTGTAAATTATTACTGGCTAATGTCATAGAAGCCAAGAGTACTGGTATGGTCCCTTTTGCAAAGAATTTTTTTAAAATTTCTGAAATCTGACAATCAAACATAATTTATTAAACACTAGATGGCTTAGCATAGGTGCAACTAACTAGTTAAGCAAATTTGGAGGAGGCGGCTTACGGCACTTGGGATTCATTAAGTAATAAGTATAGAACTAAAAATGTTCATTGGTTTGTTGGTCAACAATTACTTAAAAGGCTTATTTCTGTTCTTCTGGCCCCCATTTTGTTTAAAGTGTCAGTGCAATAACAAGATAGCACCTACTGATTAAGTTAGGTTCATGAATTTTTTTTTTTTGAAAATGGAGTTGCGGCTGTTATTGCACTGACGCTTGAATTGCACCTATGTAAGCAAAAATAATTCATAAATTTTACCACTCCAATGAGGTATGGGCTACCAGCATCTCCAAATGCATGTGAAAACAAAATTTGAAATGCTTCAGCTGTTGATCGTCTAGTAGGACTGACGACATACTAAAATTAAAAACAAAAGAAATGTTAATAAATCACGAGTTTGAATTTTAAAATATTCAGTAGGCATAGTAGATTATTAATAACTTTTATTGAACACATTTTTTGTTTTAAATAATTCTACATCCGTACCTATTGTTTTTTGTCTACTCGGCCAACTTTTAAATTTTTTTCATTTTATTTATTTGAAATATACGCCCGAAGGCATTTAGTACAGAAAAATTAAATACTTGAACTAGCTTGACAAAAAAACAGGGGTACTCTGCAAAATGTTGTCCATTACTCTGCTCTCATCTAAACTTTAAATGCTTATAATTAATGAACTACTTATCTGAAATTTGATATTTATAAATTGAAATCTCCGAATAATATTCTGCTTAGGAATATGGAATTAATAATATATGGTCTTTCAAAAATGAAAATAACTTAAAAAATTATAGTGAAAAAAATTGTTGTTTTAAAATTACATAAAATTATATAAATAGAATAGTTTCAAAAAACTTAAAACTTTTCAAAGTAATGAGTGTAGAAACTTAAATTGATCACTATAAACTATTTGCAATGTCTGATATCAATGTCAATGATAAGATAATCTTTAAAAATTTAAATTTTAAATGTTGACAAGCTTTTATGCTAATGCGTATATTAGTATATGTTTTTACTTGTTATTTTTGCATAATGTATCCGTCATGCAATGTAGTAAAGTGTGTTCGGTTTTAGCTCGACCACATTGTAGGTAGATAAAACACTTTTTTATGTTTGTTATATACGCTGACAAACAGGGGAGAACCGTTGAGCTTTCGCTTCACCTTATAATAATTATGTATACACAATACACATATGTACCTAGCCATAATTTTGTTAAAAACACTTACTAATAGTATATCGGCTACGATCGACCAATTAAGATTCAGTGATACTTGACCAAAGAATATCAAAACCAGCACGAGATAATTGTATTTGTCTGCAAGCGCTAGTCCCAGAAACAGGAGTGGAGCCGATATCAGAAGCCCAACGGCGCAGATCAAAGGGTCTGCTTTAGGATAGTGCACTTTCAGCCGTTGAGCCATGTATGAGCCTAAAGGCACGCCGATAAGACCGGCAGCCATAGCTATTATTCCAAAGTTCAGTGATACGCTAGAAATACAATGACAAAAGATTTTAGTTATTATTTTACAAAATATAGATAAATCGCACTCGTATTATTTATATACGTCAATAAAATGGTTAACTTAACCCATCTCTATAATAGTTCTACCTGTTTATCGTCACGTCTTCGTAACCTTTTTGCATTTTAAGTCCCGACCACATAATTTGGGGACCCCACCAGGCCAAAGAACCTGTGACAAAAGCCACGCAAGTGAATCCGGCAGTGGATAACATAAAACTCCGACTGGTAATAAAACGATTAAATGATGTAGGTAGGTACACATAAATAAACAATCAAGTGTATATAGAAACACCTACTTCCGACACAATAATTGTATGTCCTCAGACCAAGACGTTGTGGTCAAGTGAGAATACCCTTCGCTCTGACCTCGTTCGGGTTCTTCCATAACGAACAAAATCAAGAGGACGGCCAACATGCCGAGCAGCGGCGTGACGCGCAATCCCCAGTGCCAAGAACCGAGAATCCTAGCAGTTTCCGAGCCGACAATATAGCCCAAACCACTAAAATAAAAAAAAAATTAAAATCATGAAATAATGAGCTTTATTTGACCAGAATTAAAATATTGTGAGGTCAGATATTATACCTTCCCACGGGTATGGCAAAATAAAATAGAGCCAACATTTTCGACCTCACGTCCTTAACGAACATATCACTTATAATTGTAGGCGCAATAGTCGAATAACTAGCTTCACCGACACCCACCAAACTTCGGAAGAACAAAAATAAATAATATTCCTGTGAACAAATTTTGCTGTAAAAATAATTTGAAAAAAACAACAACAAACTTTTATAGTTTAATGTAATAAAACTTACGTTCATATAAGAACCGACAAATGTAGTTAATGACCACAGAAACACGCCAAAAGCCATTATGTATTTTCTGTTGTATCTATCTCCTAGATAGCCAAAGGCCGGAGCGCATATCATATAACTTATGACGAATGCGGTTTGCAATAGGCCACCTTTGTCGTCTCCGATTTTAAATTGGCGTTGAATATCGACTAGAATACCTAGAAATATAGTTAAGAGGTAATATATTAAAATATTATTCATCCGAAATTATTTGATTAAACAGTTAACTATACATTGCGATGTGATCGACTATTTTATAAAATCTACTTATGTGCTATACACTACACGAGTTATAATATATTATAATATTCAAAATATTCGATACTCAAAACGAAATGTACATCAAGATTCGTGATCTATGAATGGATATTGTTTTGATATAATGATACGTATACGCATATCGACGTAATTAGTAACCAATTATGTGGCGAGCAATTTAGGATAGCGTAATTAATTAATAATTACCTATAATATTGTAATTGCTATTGGTATGTCGTATGTATATGCCCTTCGTCCACAAACGCGAGACGATCGTAGTAGAAATTATTTCGTGATGGTATTTTATAGTATAAATACATATAATGGGTGGGCACTTCTAAAAGGATGCGACAAATAATTAAACAATACGACCAAGACACCAGGAGACACGACGTAATAATGCAGTTCCATGACCCGAAATACGGTTTGTAGACATAATATTGTACAGCAGTCATAGTTAATAAAATAAAACTGTATACGGTTATACAAGGGCGATCAGAGAGAAAGAGAGCGAGAGAAAAAATACGCATAATACGAACAATTAATGCACTGCTACTAGCTACTGCTTTCGTTCCATCCTCGGAATCTCTCAATATTATATGCTCCTGTCCATATTGTACAATGGTGGCATATGGCTATGGCATTATCTTATTTATTAACGTCGTCTATATAGACGGAGCGAGTAACGTCGGACACTTCCGGGGATTCTCCAGCAATAGACGCGGCGCGTACAATAACATTTTCCTCGTGGTGCACGCCATGGAGAAGAACAGATGGCCCGGCGGGCATAGTGATTTATGATATATTATTATATACATTATTAGTTTATTATACATTGTACATTAACAATGATGAAACTGGTATAATAAGCGTAATGTACTTTTTTTCTGGACGGATGAAGCCCAAACAAACACGAATCATAGTAATAATGCGTATACAATAAGGATGACTATTATTATAGCATCATAATAGATAGTATAATATATTATGATAATTTATATTATGATACGTCGTGTGTACAGCCGACAGGGTATATATCTTCCGACGTAATGTAATAATAAGTCACTAATAACTAATAATATTATAATCCTATAATGATGATGATTCAACATTTCAATGTCGTAAAAGTGAGAAATTTAAAATATATATTTATATATTCAAGTAGAAAATATTATTATTACAGTACTTTAGTTTTTTTGCCAAAGTATAGTGGTTGGTGGTGAAAGCTTGCAAAATACTCTATTACAGATATTCACATGATTAATCGCTCGAAGGCGCTAAGAGCTTTTTAACTTTACTTCACTTCCCTTTATTGTTACGTTTACAAAAACATGATTTTTATATAATATTATACAATTTATTTTTCACACACCTTATACTTGAATAAATTATAGTGTGAAAAAGGTATACTGAACTTGACTTACTATAAATATACAATGATTAATGAATACAGTTGCGGATCCTGGGTTTAATTTAATTTTTAATTTTTTTTTTTTGGGGGGGGGGGGCTCATAAGAAAAATACTTCTAAGCCATAAATACAATAATAATAATAATATAATATAATATGCAATTATAGTAAATGTTTTTTTTCCAATAACATTCCCAATGGTTTCCAAAATAGATAAATAGATTGTGTAATTAACTATAATGGATCATATTACATACTTTAAAATATTTCTCTAAGTAATAAGTGGAGTCTGTTGAAGAGGTCTGGGGGGGCCGAGACCCCTGCTCTCCTCCTGAATGAATATGATAAAATAAGATCAAGCATTGATGATGTTTCGTCGGGAAAGGAGAAAAAAAATTAGGTAATTCACTACGGGACAACTGATGAAATAAGTTTATAGAATCATATACAAAATAAAAATATGAAAACCATAGTATGACCTTAGAAATAATTGCATTACGTATATTTGTGTGTAAATAATTTCAGGTTATAAATATACATAATGTAAGACTGCATTATATATTTCATTATTTAATGGGTGGTGGTAAATAATATGTATTCACCATTCGCTAAAGACGATAACGTCATTATTATGACAGTATTCTGTACACCAAAACCGAGAAGGAAAATATGATATTTTTTTTATGTATTGAAGTTTGTAAGACTTAATGTAAAATAAAAAATTGTCCTGCGTTTTCTCTAACCAAACATCAGAGATTATACTATTTTAAACCTATTTTTCATTAAGTGAGTTAGCATACCGTTATTAATTGTAAATTATTACTAATTACTATACCTAAATAGGTAAAACCAAAACATATTTTAAAGAAAAATTTAAGTACTTGAAATTCAAATTTTTGTTCTCATTAGTAAGTATTATTTTATGATTTATAAGTAAATTTATAAATAATTGAACTATAAACTGTAATATAAACAAATAACAAATAATAAAAATAAAAATAACAATAAATATTTGTAATTAAAATTAAAACAATTTATTAGTTATGATACATAATACAGCATATTATTTATATATATAATATTTGAGATAATATAAACATTGATATTAGAATAACAATATCAAAATATTAATGATGGTACGCGTTGACTACGCAGTGCAGATTCTACCGCTTTGAATTTACTAACACATATTGCCATATTGATATGAAACATTTTCATTACAATCAAATAAAAACTAAGAGTTACAATATTAATATAATATTAGAAAATACAATATATTTTTTTATTTTTAATTTCTTTATTAATTTTTTTTTTATTTAACAATTTTTATTAATACGTGGTGAAAAATGTTTTGGATTTTGAGAATTATTAAACAAGCGTCCAATAAAAATTGCCAAGAAATTGTGGTAAGTATTAGAAAAAATTATTCTATTTTCAACTTAACTAGGTATGGTAAAAATGAAATAAAAAGAAGAATTTTTACCCAAAACCAGCTTTGAACAAAATCGATTTATTTTTTGGTTTAGCTCAAAAACAAATAACCTTAGATGCAGATACTTGAAATTGTTGCTTAATGTTTTTATTAGCATTTTCTATACATGATACAATTCTCAAATTGCTTTTACTCTTTTTATAAACATTTGACTTTTCGGTTTATTTTAGTTTAATTTTCTAAAATAATCGATAAAAAATCGGTCAAAAAGTTTGAAAATGTAATAAGTACAAGGTTCCACATAAGTAGTTCCAATTGGAAATGAAAAATATAAACCCACATTTTTTTTTATAGAGGTAATTGAAATTAAAATGTAGATGAAATTGTGAAAATAGATTGAAGACAACAAAAATATTTTTCGTGGGGATTTGAGACGCGTAGGTTCATATTATTATTATATTGGGTATACAATGAGATAGTCATATTGAGATTAATTTTATACTTATATGTTATTGCCTATTTATTTATTTTTTGGCTTTATTGGTTATACATACCATACTACACTATGCTACTAACAGTGAAATAAATTATAATAGTAAATTACATAATAGGAATTAGGAATATATTTAATATTTATATTATAATAGGCTCTGAATCGTTTTTCGTATGCAATGATTTATCATTGGTTCAGATTCAATATATTGACCTACTCAATGACTATGACAATGTAGGTATACTCGACTCCTACTGTATAGCAAAGCAGTTACCGACTTTCCCCTTTTTAACACTTTTCTTAAGTTTGGTTTCACGTCTGTCTGTGATCAAATCTTGCGCGCTCGATTTGAGGCACTTTTTGAAGATGAAAAATTCTGAAAATTGGTATAGACCTTGGTCTTGGATGACAATACAATAATCCGTAAAAAAAATTTTTAAACTAAAAAGTAGAAAATAAAAAATAAAAATTTTTTTTTTAAAAAACACTTTTCTAAAAAAACAAAAAAATAATGAAAAATTTAAAAGTGTGTGGCGCTCTTACACTTGACATATTATACCACACACTTTTAAATTTTTCATTATTTTTTTGTTTTTTTAGAAAAGTGTTTTTTATTATACTTTATAGTTTGTACAATTGTACTGAACCTATAAAATAAAAATAATAGTTTAATGTGTATTTTACGCAAGTTCCATCATATGGATGTATGGTAAAAAACTAGGTACATACTACAGTTATTTAATAATAATTAATAATTAATAACCTATAATTTAATTTTTGCTAATAGTTAAATAAATAGAGACCAATCTTTGTAAACTAAATGTCACGTCGACACGGCATATTTATAAAAAAGATAAAAATATTATATAACATGCACCAACTCAGACATGTCGACTTGAATAGGTGTTCAATGTTACGATTATTTTAAAAAAGAACATTGTACTCGTTCCAACAATACTAATGAACTTTGGCATTTATACACGTATATAAAAATACATTCGAGGTGTTCTCTTTTATGGTTTCAAATGCTTTAGCAGTTATTGAACAAAATTACTAAATATTTATTAAAACCTTCATCGTCATTAGATACTTTTAGACATATAAATTTGAAAGATTAGAACTGTATTAATTCGAAAACGATCTTAAAGTTTCATAATAATTTTCTAAAATCGTCTCTGTTAATATTCAGGTTGTTTGTTTATTAATTTTATTATTCATTACAATTAATTCATATACTTACATTTATTATTATAATATTAATAATAATATAATAATAGTCGGAGATCGGGAGAGGGACTTATGGGAGCTTGGTCCCTCCAAAATAATTTATTTGAAGTTAAAGCCCGACTAAAAATTAAAAAATAATCAATATCGTACTTTAGTAATGTCATACTTATTGTGTATGGAAAATTATTTTCTAATTTGTTCACTAAAAATGTTTTATTATATACCTATTCATTTATTATAATATGTGGAAACCTTTTAATCATTTGTTTTTAATAACATACCGCGATTACCGACCAATACGGCAATATACCCAATGCACTAATGTCATATTATATTTT